TTTTTTTTTTTTTTTTTTTTTTTTTTTTTTTTTTCTTTTTTTTATCTCCCGATGTTTGTTCGCTTTCTTGGTAGCTGATGATCTTTTCATGAACGGCGATGCGAAGCGTTTTGAGATTGGGATCAAACAAACGGTTGTCGTGCGGAGCTGGCTGGCTGGGGGATTAGCCTGATGTGGTTTAGTTTCGTTAGAGAGGAGGAGTTCTTGTTTGTATTCCTTCCTCATCCTGTCTTTGGCATGTTGAGGGGTTGCCTGTTTTGGGAGATGCTTGCTGCTTTCTAGTAGATGAGGTTGTTGCTGCAGGTGGTGCGAGGTGTTTGGTTCTCTGTTTGGAACTGGAAGGGAAGGGTGGATCGCGCTGTCTCTTTGGGTGTGCTGTGCTGGGGATGGGGAGGGTGTAAGTAGTAATGCGATGATTGATGGTGGAGTACAGTACAGTGGAAGACTTCATCTTCTCTGGCAAGGACTACCGTAGAGGTGATGGGGTTGTACTGTATATTGAAAAGCGGTAGTCCTTTGGGTAAACTATAACCACTCGATATACCTACCGTATGCACCATCCATTCAATGCATCCAAGTCCAAACGGTTAACCCCCCCCCCCCCCCCCACCAGACCAAGACGAGCCCAGGGGCCCCCCCCCCCCCCCCCTTCAACAGAAAATGCACAATCCAGTGCATTCCCAGCTTCCCACCATCCTGCCGAAGTAGTCGACCAACAGTTCAATTCACGTATCAAACCACTCCCCGGAGCAGGGGGAAGAGAAAGAAGAAGAAGAAGAAGAACCCATGGCCATTGCCATCGCCATTACAAGCAACCCCTCCCTCCCCCAAATCCTCCCTGGACCAGACAAACAATCCCATTATGTTGTCACGACCATGCTCATCGCATCCCCCATCCTATCCTTACCTTCCCTTACCTACCCACGACATGACCTCCCTGCTTCCCGCCTCAGCCACCATAACCGGCCCATCCTCATGCCTGTCAAGTAAACGCGTAGCATACATAACTACATGGCCATGACATTCAAACCCATAAGCCAGAGGCAAACCAGCAGCGGCATGGAATTTAGTACCCACTCGATGCCTGCCAGCCTGCTTACTGCTTGCTTGCTTGCATCCCTCCATCCATCCCTCCATCCTTGCCCACTTGCATGTACTGTACTGCACACCCTCAACCACCTAACCTAACGCCCGAGGCACGGTAAATCAACTTCCCATAATCCCCGACTCAGATAATCACCAACCTCGGGATTTGCAAAGGCAACAGAACAAAAAGAAAAATTGGGGGTTTGTCCTGTCTAGGAAAGAGATCTCCCCTTACCCCTTCGGTCGAATTGTTATTGCCTACGGGTTACGTTACGGGGGTTGTGCTTTATACTTTCTTTGTTTGTGGCCCTCATCTTTCGATGCTGAGGGTGAGAAATAAATTTTGTGGGTCGGGGTTTGAGATCGTTGCTCTTTCTTTTGGGGGGGTAGTTGGGGTGTTGAGTGGTGGGATGGGGGTCCGGTGTCTTTTTGTCGTTGTCTTTGGCAAGGAGTATCTTCTATTTACTATGTACAGTACAGTAGAATATGACTAGAGGTTTAGTTGTTGATGCTAGAGGAGAAGAGGGGGGGAGTAGGAGAGAACTATCCAGTTGGTAGCTTAGTTAGCGAAGTGGCTATATTAGCTTATGGTAGGCAAGTTAGTCCTGTCTGTAGTGCTAGATTGCAGCAATCATACAGTAGGTGGCTCTACTAGCCACTAACTTATAGCTGAACCACGCCTTGCTGACAGAACTGTACAATCAGCACAATTCAAAGGAAAATTCACCCCCCTCAACTACACGGACTACTCCGTACCTTTTACACGTTACACTTTACACTTCACTTGACTCCCACATCAAAAGTCCCGTATACGTATGCGTAGAACCGCAAACCGGGAACGGTAAAGCCTAGACCCCAAAAGTATAAACAGTAACCTACCCTCTTTTTCTCATCCCTCATCCCTCCTTCCTCCTCCCTCCTTCCTCATCCCTAATCCCTTCCTTTCCTTACGGCGGGAGCACCCACAATACTAAACCAGGATATCCCATCGTAGTCGAAAATCACCCGTTCTTAGCCGCCGTCAGTGCGTAGGGGATTTTCCCGGGTCCAGACGGTCAGTCAAACCCATGGACCCATGGTAATCCCGGCAGCCACACACAGAAAGGAAATTAGGACCGACATGCCCTATGCACCTAACCATCTATGTTCCATGTGGAATGGACCGCTGTCAGACCAGGGAGGGGATGGGAGAAAGTTTGGGCAAGGTGTGAGGTGTGAAGGGGGGGGGGGGGTAGGAAGAGGGCCATTTCATGGCTGTTTACCTTTCGGTCTTCCTTGTTTGTTTGTGCCTTTCTGTAAAGTCACTAACGGTAAAAACGGGATCTAACTGTCGAGGTACAGTGCTGATGGGGAAGGAGAAAGGTCTGGGCCCGTGACATCCTTCTTGTCTGGTTCGCACGGTGATCGGGCTAATTAAGTGGAGTGAACGGAGTGGGTTTTGCTAGACTAGCAATTCTTCCGATTGTGGTGGATAGACAAGTGGGAAACTGGTTCACCACCCACAATCGAGAACGAGACTCCATTTCCGCAGCGGATGGTGGGGCCGCACAGCCGGTCACTGCGACTAAGTTACTTTCCCACTTAGGGCTCGGACGGGTACGTTTTGGACAGGCGGACACGGTGTTTACATATCATCTTCAGTCATGATTGAAAAGTTGAAGGCCGGTACTCATCGGCTTTCTCAGGCGATAAGTTAGAGCTCTGGGAAAGATCAGTCGCACCGAGGTAAGAAGGATGCATGGGAGTACTGGAGTACTGTACGTCCAGTCACAATTACTCCCATAGTCCTGACTCCCAAACAGGTAGGTCGATAGCGATGCAAGCAAAGAAGCCACCACTTACGTAGCCCCTCTAATTTAATCCGGAGATTAGATCGCAAACAAAAACCGTCTCCAACGATATTCCCACAGCGGGATTAACATCGAATCATGTTGCTCGCTTGGAAGCCAGCAGAACTGGCAACTGACCTAAGGATGATGATGGTCAATAAACAGCATCACAACGGCAATAGTCGGCTGGCTAGTCGAGAGCAAGCTAACAAAGCAGCAGAGCTATTCTTCAATGTCGAGCCGGGTTTTCACAGTCATTTCCGGGCGAAACTATAGCCACAAACCGGCCCTTCCAACCCTGTTGGCACATCCACCACACCCACACGAAACCTTTGACGGTTGACCGGGCACGGCGTCCGCATGAGTCCGACTCCGACGAAGGCCAGTCCCTCTCGTAGCTCCGGTAGCCCTGAGATTTAATCACTTAATCAAGCCCCGTAAGCGGTCTCCGCTATGCTGAGGTTATGATAGAGCCCCCCTCCCTCCTTCATCGACAACCAGGCTGATTCTCCTGCCGACTAAAATAACGCTCCGTGCCCGGACTGAGGCGGCTACAGCGCGGAGAAAATTCCCACCCTCCATCTGGAGCAGAGAGTGGCGTTGTAGGCAAAGCTTTCTACTACCGGATGTGTATGTGCCAGAATCTCCCCTCCGAGCCAGCCAGGACCAGTTTGCGGTTCCGTCGGGGAGGGGAGCTTATGTAAAATGACGCCTTCGGTAGCGATCGGCCTTGAATGGTCTAGAATAACCCGGTTGGGAGTCTGCTTGCTTGTTGATGTATGGTGGTTAAGTGCTCTAGCTTCCATCGCCCGTTCCTAATCCACGGAAACGTTGGTTGTTATTCTCTTTCAAGTTCGAGTTTAACCTGCCGCTGACTCATGGGGTCCGTACAGCGTGCGACGCAACAAAGAAGATGCGCGTAAGCTTAGTCATGAGGGCAAAAAGCAATCCGTTCATGGGCAGTTCGCGCTTCTCAGGTCGCAGGAATAAGTCTTTTGCGTTGCGATTGCCTGCCGGTAGAGCAGATCGAGTCTCCAGAACCTATTGATGGGTCTATACCATGTTTGTATAGAGCACGTTCGCTTTCTCGGCCCTTCCCATGGAAGATGGGGCCGCAGATATGGAGACCAGACGGAGCCGATCCGGCCGAAGTCGAGACCTCCAGAAAAGATAGACAGACCATGTCTGAGTGAGTAAAGTGAAACAAAAGAACCAAACCCAGACCGTGTTAAGCCAGCGGAGCTCCAGCGGGAGAAGCCTTCGGTGGCTAGATCGCGATCCACGCGCAAATCATGTCGGAAAGTATCGGTCTTGTCGATGCTAGAGGATTGCTGCTGGCCTGCTAGCCTGCTGTTAGATTGGAGTCGGAAAAATAACTCATTTCAATCCCACCCATGCTTTTTCTTTTTCTTTTTCTTTTTTTTTTTCCCCTTTACCGCACCCTTCCTCCCCCCGCGGGATGGTTGCATTCGGGGAGATTAGACACCCGCCATGGGGAACAGGAACCATATCCGCCCTCCCCCCCAAAGTAAAAAGCCTCCGTTCTTTCCATGGTTCAATTCCTCCCCGTGTTTTTGAATCAAAGGACATGAGGAGAATAGAGTAGGAGGAAAGAATATAGAAGGAACCAAAAGAGATAAAGAAAGAAAAACGCGATCGGCATCAGAGTGCCGAACGCCAAGGTACCAGTTGAGTACCAACAAACCTTTGCTCTTGTCCGGATTTAGCAACCCGGGGGTGACGGCTGCGACAGGACTAAGGCAGGTCAGTCGACCACTTCCCTAGGGCTGGCCACTGTCTCCTGCCAAGAAGGACCGAGCCGCTCAAGATTGCATTCACCCCAGTCGAGATTCTTTCCATGGAGAGGTGATGTGGATGTGGATGTGGTAGAAGACAAGGTAGTTTGAAGTGGGATGCACTGAACGTCATGACAATCGCGGGAAAGCCGACGCCGGTCCGCCCGTAAGGGAAGGAAGAAAGGAAGGGGAAGAAGTATGGCTGTATTGTACGGCGTTGTCCATGCTGTAAGGTATTTTGTATGGTAATATATACATACACTACGTGCTAACTATATGGACAGCTACCAAAGTTGCTCGAAGGATGTTTACATGCACAGATCCATGCAATCCTCAGTACACTGTTTCATTTCCCACAATAAGATAGGTTAATTGACAGTAGAAGTAGGCAAAGTATAAATGTAGACAGGTAGCTTCAGCCCGCCTTGAATGTGCCCGGAGACTATGATGGATATGTATCGTATACGAAATGGATAGACCAGGCAAGCCAATGGTTATTCGATAGCAAGTGCCCGCCAGTTGACACCAAATATCCAGTGGTCTCCAGAGCTATGCTGCATCCAGCTAGTCTTCAAAGGGAGTGACGATGTGATGATGATGGCTAGTCTGCCTCCCTAAGGAAACGGCCTCGACGGAGGCTATCACAGACTAATATTAGCCCAGTGGGGTCGAGCTGCGGGGCAAACTTGCCAGTGGTCGGCCCTGGTTGAAGTCACGGCTTTTGCCGTAGGTGCTAGGCTATATCCATTTCACGAGTGGCATGAGACTCCAGAATGATTGTCGCTGAATCCCCTCCTCAAGAGAATACATTCAAAGATGATTCTGGTGATGACATTGGCCGACAGGTCAACTAACAGAGTTGGAAGGCAAAAAACAGGGAAAATGGGAAAGCAGAGGAGCACGCCCTGCACACTGAACTCTGTCTAAAGGTCAAAGAAGCAATTTGATTGATGAGACCATTTGCCCCGGCAATTAAAGCGAGCCGGATTATTCCTCAAGGTTCGTGGTTCAAGGTTCAAGAAGTGGGCAGACGTAAACCCTCAGTGTCCCTAGACTTTTCGGGATAAGTGAACGGTGAGACAGGGGTCTTGGGGCTTAGTATGGGTGTTTAATGCAGTGGCCAACGTGATGTGCATATTACCCCCCAGCCGCCGATCACTACCCGGAAGCAAGATTCAGGTTTGATCAGAGACACGACAGGGGGGGGGGGATTTTGACAAGTTGGAAAGGCAGAACATAAGAGACAAAAGAGAAGGATGAAAGAAAGCCAAGGGAGGCTAAATGGGTCTCCACCTTGAGTTACAAAAGCAGCAGCTACTGCGACCGTTTCTTGGGGTGCACTATTGTCTTTTCTCTAACCTGTTTTTGTTTGACACACCAAGTACGCAGAACTAGGAGTGTCGGATGAAGGAGTGGTGAGGAGGGATTGGTTGACACCCAAAATACGAGTCATGAAGAGTGAAAGAAGTGACTGATTGCACCTTCTATGAGAGCTTTAAATCTCCATCCATTGATGATCGCAACCAGTGGAATCTTCAAGCACTGGAGCGGGGACGCCGGGGAGTCGCATCACCTGCCCTCTAAGGTTTGGTCCTCGATTAGGGTTGTGCCTGATTTGGACCTCGTGGGAAATGGCCGGGCGAAGCGAAACTGGCCAGATAGAGGAGATAGGTACTCCGTACCATCAATAGTCATTTAGCGTAGGTATTGGCTGCTGTCTAGGAGGCTGGGTTCCTAGGCAGCCTCTATTTTAGTAAACGGTCCCGCTGCATCAGCATCGTCAACGTTCTTAGTGTCGCTTGCTGGATCCGAAGTCTTAGGTTCGGATCCGCCCAGTCGATCAGATTCTGGATAGAATGAGAGGGGACTCACCAGGCCACATCCTGAGCGATGTTCGGCTGATCCGCCCAGGGGCTTTAATTTTATTTCTAATATTTCCCTCCCTTTTTTGGTTCTTCTATCTCTTCATAGGGTTGGGTTGGGATTTGGACACCTCGCCGGAAGCGGAAGCAAAGCCCCCCGTCGTTCGGTTTAGAAGAGTGGCTCCTGGATTCTGCTCGAGGGAGCTTGATGTCGTCGATGCTCCGCTTTTCCCCTGTCATTCTCGGCGCTTTGGCTCGGGTTGGGGCTGGGGTTGGGGTTGGTTTCAGCTGTTGAAACTCTCTTAGCCATCCACCGTTCCATTGCCCGCTCGATCTCGTAATCTCTAACAAGTCGTTGGTGGTCTGAGATCAGCAAGTTCACGACGATAAATTTTTACTCATCGCATGCGATAGATAACCACGCCAAGAAACCCCAAGCGTGTTTATCAGACAAAGTGAGTACGCCCTTGTTCGCAGGCCGACCGCTGCAATTGAACATTAGCGGAAGCAAAGTGTCATCGTCGCATGGGCACCCGTCCGTCTCCTTGTTAATAATAATGTTGACAGTGGCAGGCAACTTTCCCCACTTGATGAAGCAAACTTCGACCGAAGGGGCACCTCACCAGGTCCCATACCGTATAGGTCCTAGAGACCATGCTAACGACTAATCACCAGCAACTAGTCGGTAGTCTGCGTGTTGGACCGGGCCACTAACCACTTCTAATTTCCACCAACTCAATCGACACGCCTGATCGTTTGGGAGCACGGCCTCTCCACAGTTTCCCTTACCGCCGTCAGACGTGTGTTGCTTATGTGTGCTTTCGCCTGATCAAATCATAAGTAAGGCAAATATGGTCATCCCAGGGAATAGTGAACCAGGTAGGGGCGGGATGAGAGGGTCATCTACAAGATCGGGTGATAATGAACAGGACGAGAGAGGGATGAAGAATAGGTAAGAAGCAGTGCTCCTGTCAGGGACGTATTGTAATCCCGTATTATTTCATGTATTGTGGGCGGTACCGTATTCTGTATTGAGCTCGGTTCCGTGCCCCGACGATGACTGTTTGTGCAGCCAGTTGCTAACTAACTTCATTTTACTGCACTTGTCGCATTAACTCGGGCTTCTAGCCTTCGCAATGTAGCATACAAGGTCATTCGGATAGGAACGACAGAGGTTGGAGGACTATTTGGGACCAATCATGCTTAGTGTCATGCATCCGCCAAAAGAAATACTATGTAATGCTAAAGGAGTAGGAGGGGCAGCTTTGCAAAAGGAGATAGTACATACAGTACTCCCTCCAAGCTATTGAGGAATCAAGAAACCGGCCGGTGAGCGGCAAGCGACCGGAGGAAGGCACGGAACGATGAACGCCGTCTCAAACACCCTGCATCGATCAGAGTTGCATGCCAATGGCAAGCTTAAGAAAAGCCTGACACCGTTGCTTGCGTTCAGCCTAGTTCAGCCTAAGAACCCCACCCACCCGTGAGCATGCCATACACATGGCCTCCCTGAGAATATGGTACAGTAGTTACTTACAGAGACTCGACCTCTCGAGTGCGGGAGCCAGTCATGCCGGTAGCAGCATCCCTCGATTACGACGACTTGACTAGCCTCCTTGGGAAAATCTCCAGTTTCATCTTTCCCTTCGTCTAAAATCTACCTCCGAAGGAGAACTTGACGTTGGGTTGACACCTGCGCAGAACTGGTCTGTACCGAAGAAGAAGAACATTCAATCCTGCAAACAAACCCTTTAGGTGGAGTTCGCAACATCGATGCTGGGATATCGGACAAAAGGAGGCCCCATATGCGCAGCATAGTACAAACAATGCTTACCTGCTGGACGCGTGCCGCATATGTTGTGACTGGTCGGTGGACGAACACAACATAGGTTGAACAGCGGTTGTCTTATCATCCGAGACAGAAGGTTATGACGAGCCCTGGCATACATATGTCCCGGCAGGCTCACATGGAATCGATGCACGAGGAATGTTCCTACGGTGCTTAATTTGGCTCAAGATGGCAACAAAGCGCATCGATAGCTTGGGTAAGGAAGTCAAGGGTCTTTCCCCTGAATCGAGTACCAGATTCAGGAATGTTGAAAGCGCTTGGTCATAGATAGGGAGGGACGGTGGTATCGTTCATGAATTTCTGCTATTTCCCGCTGGCCGACCCCAAAGAACCTTTATTCCCTTCTCAATGCCCGTGCCAAGCCCCACTACCGCTGAAGCCACCGTCTGATTGTACGAAAGGCATGGTGGAGCAAAGCCACTGATGATATTTGACAGGCCAACTTCCACCTTCAGGAAGGCGTCTGGGGCACTGGCGGAAGATCGAGAGGTAGATGAAGGACCCGTGCTATCCTATGAGTCCATCCAAATTTTGGCTTTGAGAGTGACTCGATCACTGCCGTGAGTGAAAGCTCGATTTCCTTCCCTCGAATTAATGATTAGGGACGTAGATGTTCACTGAGACATGATGCAGGAAGCTAGCTGCCGGGAAGCGGCAGGATCAAAAGCCCACCAAAATGGCAATGATTGATCAGCCGCTTTCCAGGCTATGGGCTGGGGTTGCACAATCTGTAGCAGTAGTGACCTCGAGGAACGTAGATGATTGACTAATGCATCGCCTGCCCATGAGTGAGAAGAGGAGAATGAATCATTCGTCGAGCACACTGGTAGGCAGTCTCTCTGCTCATTCACACCAAGCTCGCTATAGGGAGAATGGGAGAGAATGTGTGTGATATGAGCGATGACGGCATTCAGTTGCAACAGTTGCAACCCATCCATCAAGCAATTTATGCCCAGGTCTGGACTTGACGGGATCTAACCCATATGTGGTGAATAGAGTGATCTTGATTAGTGGGGAGGCCGCGGAGGGAGGAGATGGAGGAATGAATCGTTGTGGTGGTGGTGGTGGTGACGGTGGTGGTGTGGCGCTTGCGGGAAAGTGGGCACAAGGCTGACAGCAGCAAGTCAGATCGGCTGTTCTCTTACCGGAGTGTAACCAGATCGAGTCGGGTCGCGTATGGCGGTATTTTTCTCTCTGGTCTGAACGTCCCGTGGACTAAACGAGGGAGAAAAGAAATGGAATGAAAAAAAAAAAAAAAAAGAAAGAAAAGAGAAGAAAGACAAAAGAAAATTCAGAAAGAGCGAGGAGAGCACTGAGGCTAGAACCACCTGTTTTAGGTGAACTAAAATTGAAGTTCTGATGCAGGTGTTTTTCTCTTTCTCGCCAAACTACGGAGTACTCCCTACTTACTGTTCTAAGACGATCTCATCGAGGCAACATCACCACCATCCATGGCTCCATGCACACCAAGTGGAGGCTGGCTGGCTGTCAGGGCACGGCACCGCCTGGTCTGTTCTCAAGGGCCATTGCCCTTAAGTATCGGTCATCTGCATCCTCCCTGGGCTGCTCGGGTAAGTCATGTCAAGGACTGCGATCGTCTGTGGCCTCTTCAATGCCGCGCCATAGAGTTCCAAGCCAGTTTTCGACCGTAGAGAAGAAGGATGGATTGAAAGTCTTAACAGGATGAGGTCACTGAGGTGGTATCATGCTGTACGGACCCAGCGGTATTGAATTTTACTGTTAAGTTACCACCCATCAGACTAAACTAACGGCTACTGTATCGTGCCTAATCCTCCCGCCGCCAATCTTCCACCATCATTCATTCCAGACCAGCCAATTCTCGCCTCCATCGCAAACCTAAAATGACCACCTGAGTGGATATTGCAGCCCAAACATGCCAATGGGAAATTCTGTGTTCAGTCAACGCTTACTTCATCTTCTGGAACGATTCAAATTCGTCACTGGTCAGTCGCATACTCGTAGTCCAAGGTCCGGAGGGAGGATGCAACATTGCCTCAAGCAGGATCCGCTCCGTACTCTTATCTCTATCGAGACTGATGGATTATTTACGGTAGTCCAACGCGATATATCATCACAAGTATACCTAAGTTAGTGGTAGATACTGACCCTCAAGGCAGACCCACTGGTCCCTGCTCCATGTGTGTCGGCAGCGTGGGAATAATAATAGACAGTTCTTGAGTTACCTCCTCACCTAGCTACAGGTTCTCAGACCGAGCTCATTTTGAGAAGACCTGAATCACCTGAATCCCAGTATTGACTCAGTTGTAGTAAGCATCTGAACCTGGGGTTCTAGCTCCAGGCGGCAGATCTGACGGCGGAGAATTGATCGGCAGCCCGTGGACATAATATGTACTGTACATAGGGACTGTACATGCATACATGCATACGGCGGCGTGCTTTCCACTCGGCCGTCCAGAGTACGGATGAACAATGTGAATACCTTCGCAGTGATGCCGTTCTTTCAGGGGTTTTACTTCCATTTTCTTGCTGAGTTTTCCATGAACCTATCTGCCCAGGGGCTCTGCAAATCCTGAATGCATTCGATCCGCGATAAATTCGATGTTTTGCATTGCATACCAGTCTCTTCATTGCTGGGCTTCTGCGGTTCTTTGTTCCATCTTTGTTTGACCTTTTTCCGATTGCAAATCGATTATTTCGTCAGAGAAGTGAAATCCCCGGTGTCTGCGCTGTTTACCCAGTTTCAAGTGCATTGGCGATGGCTTTCCTCCTTTCAACCCCCATCACCCCATCCGCCTACCTACCCACTTCACCGAGACTGCCTGTCAAACAACAATTATCAACCCAAGAAATGGTGTTCGAGGACCAAATGTAAGCCGACAGCCATCTTCTGCTGCAAGGATGTTTCTTTTTTTTTGCCCATTTTTCTTTTCTTTTTTGTCTTCCAGTGTGGCAGGAGGAGCTACTACACTGCATTTCTGTTCCCCGTCGAATTCCCTTCCGTGCTCCTGTAATCGTTAATTGTTTTCACCACCATGTCGCTGCAGGCTGTGTTCAATCCCTTGAAGGAGTTTACAGAGTGTTGATATTCAGAACTTATTGGTATTTTTCTTGCCAGTCAAAGCTTGTCTGGTCGATTCTCTATCTCACACTTAAGGAATGTCGCGGTTGTCTCTGGCCCTTCTGCTGTGCTGCAAACATCCTGGTCAATATTACACCACCTTCCCGCTAGTAACAAGCTCACTCTGATATCTCCACTAACCACTAACCACCGAATCCCTCTGACGCTGTCCTGCCCTCCATCGCCGCTGTTTTTGATTGCCCATTTTCTATTTTTTGATTATTGTTTTCCCCCAGGAATATTTCTTTTTCTCTAGATTTAATTTAATTTATTTTCACTGTAACTCTTATTTTTTTTATAATATTTTCTTTTTCTCTTCCAACGTCCCCTCTTCTCTCTTTCCCCTCTCCCTTCATCTTTATTTATTTATTTTTTTCAATTTCCCCTTTCCCAAAGATCTTAGTCTTGTATCCCATTCCTGATCTGGGATAGTTGTTTGTTGATTGGGAATATTCTGTAGTGATGAAGGATGGGTCTCTTGCGCAGCTAAATAACGAC